AAAGTAATAGAACAATAATAATAATAATAATATATCAAATTAAATAATAATATAACTAGAAATAAATTTTTTTTAAATGAAAATAATAAATTGAAAATTATTCTGTCCAAAAAATGAATGTATGAAGGGAACGATGCTGCTTTAAACTACATTCAACAAATATTATCCTTAAACAAACACTTCTCTGTCAACAGAACTCTCTTCATACGCATGAAAGCCAGCTAAATGTTTTTATTTTCTTCAAAATTGTAATTAAAAAAACATGGTATTAAAAAAAAAGAATGAAAAATACATCTTGCATCCAGTGGCGGATCTAAGAGGGCCCCGCTGTCACCAGTATTTCTCAAAAGTCAGTATAACTCTTTGTTTAACAGAAAAAGACAAAAAATGAAAAAAGGTCGGCTTCCACAATACCACAAATCTTTTCCCTCCGGGAAAAATTTTGGCCTACCGTGAAATTTTTGGCTCTTTCCGTGAAAATTTAAACATTTTCAAAATTTTGGCCTTTCATCGTTAAGTTGTCTAGAATTTAGATCGGCCACTGCCTACATTAAATAGAACTGCAGGAAAATTGCTCTGAATATAAAAAGATTTGATCATCTGAAACTGGAATGTTTTGTTTCTATATAAAATATTACTATTCATGAAAACAAGATTTAATACCTGATACAAACTATCAAAAATTTCAGACTCTTTATTGATATTATAACAAAAAAAATAAAAAATTAAACTTCAGCACCATTTGAGTCTTTTTTGATAGTTTCACGAAAAAACTGATTCATAGAAGAAACTTCTTCTTTCATCTCCCATCATCCAACAAATGATTATCGTGAACGTGAATCATTCATCCCCGAGGAGGTTTGAGCCAAATTAAGTTATTCACATAAAAGGTCAGCTTATCGAGTTTGTGCTGGTCTAGTTGGATGTCTACAAAAATGTCTTATGTACGATGCAATGTTATACTAAATCATGCAATGTCATGTCATGCAAATATATTAAGAATTTATCGTCTTCTTCTTCTTCGCCATCATCATTCTCATCATCATCATCATCACATATTTGTGTTTGACACACAAAGTAATTCCAACGGATAGGAAGGATCACCAGACATCACTTTCCTTTCGTGATGGGTTCAATTTTTGTTTGGTAGAACATTTGATTGAGAATTAATTTATTCATCTTTTCCTACAAACTTATATATTACAGACCTCCCACATACAACTTTACTGAAAAAATTCCATGCGAAATTCAATAAAAAATATTTCTCAACATACACCAGGTTGACTGCGAAGAAGTTTTTTTTATTTCACTGTGTAGAGGCTTTGCAATTTGAACATCTGTGAAACATAGTATAATGTACCTCCAACTTATAACGGTTCTATTTCACAAAATTGTAAATGTTCATTTGTAATGAACATGTTGTACAACATTGTACCAGCTTATTTATAATGCATGTACATTTATCGAGACGCGCGCGTGTACACTGGCCTGGTTGCAAGTCGATGAATGGATCGACTGCTCTGTGTTCGTGCGTACACTCTTGTTTATGTACACTTATGTATCCGCTGTCGTTCCCTCTGTAGGTTTATTTTAAATGGGAATTTGAGTTTGTGGATGTTTGTGCTCGTTTGGTGTGTACTTCGTTTCAATGTATCCGCTGTTATTCTGTTTGCATGAATGTCAACATGCACTTTTATATTACACTTTTAAATTATGTATATATTTTTGAATGTTTCACTCCATATGCAGACCTGTTTAGTTAATAGTTCAAATTTTACTGTGTATGGTATTAGCTGCACAATCCTCCATATAATACTAACTGCTTGCGGCAAACAAAATATACAAAATATAGATGTTAAATATTTTACTGTCTCTTGTCATCTACGTTTTAGCTACTGTCCACTTTCAGGTCAATCCACATTTTGTTTATGCGTGAATGGGTCAGCATTTATAAGCGTTCATAACTTAATAAGTTAAGTTATGCCCTCTAGAAAACTCGTAAAATAATTCATATTTGATATTATTTACACTGCATCACAGAAAAATCTGGTCGAAAAATGAAAACCTTTTTAAATCAAAATTCAAAACATTTCTAATCATAATTACGTTATTTATTCAGTCAAATTTGAAAATAGTGGGAAAAAGTTTGTACATTTCACACGAAAATGTTAATTTTGATGTCCAGATATTTTATTTTCACGTCAGATGCAATTTTGGTTCGATGTTTTAAACTATCCAATTTTTGATGATTTAAAATGTGTTAATGTTCATGTTCATGTTCAAAGTATGTTCATGTTCATCTTTACGTATCTTGTAAAACACGTTTCATCCCGACTTGACTATTATGGCTCTTCTGTTTTTTGTTCGAGAAAGTAATTTTAAAAATTGAGTTAACATTTTTCCAAGACATAAAACAAAAATTTTTCAAATATATATATATATATATTTATATAATGCTAAAATTGACATGAACAAATTTTAGGTAAAAAAAATCCAGGATATCGAAAACGAAAAATGTTTTTATCTTACCACGGAGCAATCAGGAAATGAGACAAAAATAAACAAAATCAATAAACTTGCACCTGGAAAAAAACCACGGTTGGTGTTGCACGTGTATCATGTATACTATACAAAACTATACAACACATCCTCATACACGAACGAGAACTTGAGCATGGGGAATTAAAAATACGGTTATGCCTTTTCATATATCTTTATATAGAGCTTATTATATTCATATAGACTTGCATATTCATTCATTCAACTTAATTTGTATAATAATATATTATTATGTGTGAATATAAAAATTGTTGTGCGCCTAAGTTTACAATAAAATTAAATTGTAGATGTATCTACGTTTTACTAATATTTTACAGCTAAAGTATTCCTACAAAACTTTCATTTTGATCGCTTGGGTCCTGTGAGTTGTATAATAATATATTCATTTTAAATGACTTTTTTCGAAACGTTTATATTTGTATTCTTTCATTTAAATTGTAATTTTTATTATTATGTTGCTTCAATACCATTCAAATATAGACTATTCTTCACTCGATTTTACAGAAATGTTTAAATAATGTCTTTGGTAAATGCTTATCTTTAGTTTTATTTTATGTGAAAAAATTCATTCCTTCATTTTCAGTAAAATAAAAACATATTTTACCCAAATTCATCTTATATCAATTAATTTAATACCTTTCAGGGCAAGCAAAAACTTTCAAAATTTGAAAGATGCAGGTATTAAAAAAAGACAAAAGCTGATTGTGTTTTTATGGTGGTTTTCATCCACTTGCCTTGTTTGAAGCATTTTTATCAAATGGCTGGTTATGCGGTTCAACAATTCGTTGTTGCCCTTGCCCACTACCGACAAGGTCAGACCAATTAGCAATGAGACTTCTAGTTATAGATTTGTTGTAATATTTGTCAGTATTCTATACAACTTATTACAACGTTACTTCACAGACGAATTAACAACTCGTAAAAAGGAAAGTTTACATTTTACGCATTAATGAGCAAGATTATTCGTTCGGATTATTTTTTCGAAAATTTTCAATGCAGTATTCCAGAAAAAAACTACCGAATTTCGACGATAACGTTCTATTATTTTTTATGCTCACCGAATATACGTGAAATATTATCTAAAGAATTATTTGAATGAGACTTCAATAGAGGTGAATATTGAATTCAACTAAAAAATTTCACAATCATTATCATATGGAATGTTTTTTACACACACAACACACACACACACACACACACACACATAAGCACGTACACATTTTTCATCGAATTTTAACCAAGCACTTTGTCAAAGTTTAAAACAAAAGATAAAGTAAGATATAGTAAGATAAAAATATGGTGCAATTTTGTTTTATACATTGAAATAAATTTAGATTCCATCGTAAATCACACTTCAGAATTTAAAAAAGCAAATCATCATCAATCACAACATTTTGGTAACTTTTATAAAAGTAAAGTAAATGCGAGGGTGGTTAAGAGAATTTATTATTAACGTCTCGTTGTCCTTGGCAAAAGTTCAGAGTCCTTCTTCACGAGTTAGACACATTTCTGCATATGCATTATACGTTCACATTGTTTCATCTCGATATTTTATCAAGAAAAAAATTAAGAATAGTTTCCAAAATATAAAAGCCGTTGCAATACAAACATTCAGCTGATATAGTCTACAAAATATTCAATATCATCGCACAATTCAGTTGCTATTTTTCCATCTTTCTTTAAAAAATATTTTGTGTGACATACTCAGGCAGGCATTTCCTTTGGAAATAAACGGTTATTTTTTATGATAATTAGATACGAGGAATTATTTTTTTTATAATTTTTTCATTTCTCGAATGTGATTATTTCGACATTAATTTATTCATTTAATATGCTTATAAAATCCACACGTTCGAAATATAAATTTAACATCGGTTGTGGCCTTTGGTGACGAAAAATATCTCAACAATAAATTTGAAACCGCTTATGCTATTAAACTTTTGTTATTTGAATAGTTTGGCACAATGCGAATATTTTTTAAAAATACGAAATGTTGTTGTTGGGTTAAAAACAAAACATTGCGTAACATTACGGTTCAGTGTTTGTTTAAAGTAAATGTTTCAGTCGCAGTACTAAGTTTATCAGCGTCCCATTTCTTGCAGCTTACTTTACAAATTTGTAGTTTATATATCTTGTAACCAAATTGTTGTTGTTACTTCTACTTGAGTCTATTGATTTTCAAATTCATCAACTTTCAACTTAGTTATTTTATTATAGTTAAACAATAAAACTGTCTCCGCGTATCTTTCTATGCAATCAACTCCATTTGAAAGAACATAAAGTTATACAAGTGAGACATGTCAATAATAATTTAAAGCGTAGTTATTATATAAATAAATATAAATAAAACTATGATTTTAAAATGTATCCAGGCAGAAATTTTTCAATTCTTGAAAATCATTTAACTGTTATTTTGTTGAAAGAGCTTCAACAATTTCTCAATGCATACGCCTGTCTCCAAGATCGCAGCATTAACAATTTGTTGTTTGTTTGCAACCTTAACATACGCCAACTCTCTTGATGAGCCTGGAAACGCAACCGCATGTGTGATAAGTGGGAATGAAACATGTTGGAACGATTTGAGACTGCCGAAGGACTTGGTGCCTCAATCTTATGAGATTCTTATTCATCCTGATCTTGAACGATTTGATTTTCGTGGCTGGTCGTGTGTGGAGGTGTTTGTCAATACAAGCGTTAACTACATTGTCATGCATACCAAAGATCTCAATATCACCATAAATGATATACGCTATAAAATTTACTCAGGTCAGTAAATTTGTTTCAGAAGATACTTTTCGAAGCAAAAATTTTACCAATCTTGCCGACATAATTTTTTTAATAAAAACATTCCTTTCAAAAATTGGCAAATCAAAATTTTTAAACAGAAAAGATAGAAGTCGAGAGGCACTTTATCAATGGGGAACTGGAGCAATTGTTCATCAAACTGTCTTCTCATCTCCTGAGACATTCCGCCGTCCTTATCAACGTATCCTTCCATGGAATACTCAATAAAAAAGAACAGGGATTTTTTCGAAGTTCCTACAAAATAAACAGTATCCCCAGGTTTTTTGAAATGTTATGTCAATATCAATAACTGCCTTTTTTAAAATGCATTATTTTCAATTGGAAAAATCGGTTTTTATGCAATAATATTTTTATATTTTATTTATATCGTTGAAGAGAAAAAATCAAAATAAAAGCCAAAAGCGATACAATATCGTGGATACATACATTTAAAGGCAAACCTATTGTGGCTTTTATGCAATAAATTCAAGGAAGAAAAATTTCTGAATGTTGAAAATTTAAGTCAGTCACCTCAACACATATAATTTCTGAACTAAAATGTCCAAAGTTGATTCAATGAGCTACAAGTTTGTAGGTTTGTTGTTGTCCGAAAGTTTACAGCACCACACAAATTGCTTCAATAGGAGTGAGTCTCAAAAAATTCAGCTGCATTAGGGTATTGTTTGAATACAAATGGCAAGGCAGTTAGTGTTTCTTCTAATAATTCTGATGTCAACAGAAAAGTTTCAACACTGTTTTACGAAAAATCTTTAGCTGTTTTAGAAACAGACACTGAAATGTAATTAAATTAGTCAATAGCTTTTTTTAAATTTTGTATATTTTTGTTATCTAGTGAACACCTTTATGCATAGTTGAAAATAACAACATTCTTTTCCACGGCACTCTTTCCAACAGTACTTCTTAAGCTACACATCGTTGACTAAAGACTCTCATTTCAGTGTGACTCTTTTATGCCCGCCTGCCTTATATTGATTGGAGAGCTGTATTGAAAAAAGACAAGTTTGAAAACAAATTTTTGGAGTTTTTTAAGGACAATATTTTTGCGGTATATTGCGCAGCCAAAAAATGTAAGAGTGGTCAAAGAGCCTACAACAAAAAAGAAAACATGTTTTGAATTCAAAATGAAAAATGATCTAAGGATCGAATTAAATTTAAACATTCATCTTAGGGATCGGTGTTTAGGTTTGCGAGGAAAAATTCAAACATGTGGTGAAATTAAGAAAAGAATTAAAAGTTATAAAAAAATGTGTAGTCACGACAAAAAATTGTTCAAGATAGCAAAACTAATTCTAAGTCATTCTGGAATCACCTAGTAAACTTAAGTAGAAATTTTGCATATATTTATGGATTAAAATAATTCAAGCTACTATCGCTAGCATTTCGATGTTGAAAAGCTGACCTTATTTGGTTTAGTTCAATCTCCATGCAAAGTTTGCACTAGAAGTCATAACTGGAAGCGGTTTTAAGGACCTTGCCACGAAGATTGAAGGAAATATTTTTTTTCCAACAGAGTTTTAGAAGTCTAAGACAGGCTTCCTTCCAAGGCCATGAATATTGAAAACATGAATACTTTTGAAAAGTTAATAGATAAATTCTATTGTGATATAATGTGTCATTGGCTTTTAAGCTCATCATTTTTGCTTTTTGTTTTATTTTGTATGTTCATTAACGTTTATCATTAATTGTTTTGGGATTCTGTTAAGTGTCAGATTTTTGATTGCATGTGTTTGTATTTTTGAATTTTTTTTGTTTAGAAATATTCATACTTTTTTTCCATGAAGGTTAACATATGTGTGCTACGATGATATAATGTAGTGAGATTAGACTAACAGTTCTTGCTTCTTATTCTATTGTTCCGTTAATCTACCCTTCAATGTAAAAGTGAAATCATGTTACTTGCTGCTTGCCACTTTGTCGGCTTTATCATTATGAAATAATTAACAAAACGTTGATTTCGCCAAAGAACTTTGAATAATGAAAGGATTAGAAGTTATAAAAAAAAGTATAGTTAAGACAAAAAAGCATCAAATTATTCTTATAGTAAATATCAAAAATATGAATTTTATATTTAAGTTAATTTAAAAAACAAAACTGTAAAAATTTAATTAACTAGTAGCTGCCAAGAAATAATGCTAAACTGTTCAAATTTATGAATTGAATAGATTTAGTAAGTGGTTGCACTTATTTGAAACTCAAAGCAAAGTAGAATAATTCAGCTAGATCTACATTTATAAAAATTCTAAACACAATTCATTAAATTCTGAGCTTTTTCAAATTTGATAAATTGATTCTCGTTAAACTTAGATATTTAGCTGCAGCAAAGATGGAACCAACTTATGCCAGGACTGTCTTCCCCTGCTTTGACGAACCAGAGATGAAAGCAGAGTTCAAGATGAACATTATCAGACCAAAGCATTACATTTCATTGTTCAACACTGAAAAAGTTTGATGTGTTATGTTTGTTTGTTTACATTGGTGAATTGAGTTGAATGCACACTGCTGCTCCTAACCCATAAGTCATATGTCATGATTGCTGCTGTGATGGATGTAGATGCAGATGCAGTGGAATGGAGTTCGTTAAAAGTTGTGGATTATGTTGTTTTTGAGTAATGTCATGAATAGTGATTTTTAAACCAAAAATAAAAACTTTAAAGAAGTTTGTATAAAAATTAAATTTTTGAAATTTTTGACGACAATTTTTGTTATAAAATATTTATGAATAACATGATTTCATTCACTAATACAAAGATAGCAGAAAAAGATGTGTCTCCAAACGAAACGATGGAGCACCTATTTTCTGGCATTTCTTGTGTGTGACTTTTCGTCAAAAACCCTCCTTACTAAGAGCAGGACTCCTGTGGGTTAAGTTTGATTTGATTCACTTCCATTTTTCTACTCAATTAAATCTTTCAATCCTGGAAGGACAAAACATTGATCCTCATGAAACTATATATTTATTGAATAATATGTATATGCCTGTGCTTTCTAAAAAAGCAATTTTATGGCAATTACCATATTGCGCGGTGGATCATTAAGCTGTCGGAATATATCTTTGCACGCAACAGATTGTGAACTAGTCTATTTTAGTAAACTTATTGACGAAAATTAGTGCCAGTGAATGTCGCATTGTTTTGAATGGCTTACCGACGAAAGGGTGCAGCAAATAAAAAGGTGCAGACAAAAAGAGCGCATTAATAATTGCGCAGCGCAAAAAAGGCAAGTAATAAGAGAGTAAGATTGAAATTAAAAATAATTTCAATATTTAATGCTAATGATTGATAATTTATATTTGAGTAAAAGTAACTTATTGCAACCTTTCCAAACATCTTAAAATTGAAAATAATTTTTTCAAATATAAAAATCGAAATTTTATCGAATTAGCCACCGGTGTCAAAGGCGTAGTGATAGACTGTTTCTAGAATTACTTCACGTTATCGGATTTGAATGTATTTTATGTCATTTCACGGATTTTCGTGTGATTTAGTCCTATTCTATGACTTGTCATGGCGTTTTGGATAGGACGCCTGTGCGATAACCTCGTGTCACCGGGTTTGAAAAGCATGCAGTGTAAATTTAAGCCTGAGCAAAAAACGGATCACGAGGTTGGCTTCGTTTTTATTAATTTTCCAATCGAAACATCTTCAAAACAGTCCACAATTGGTTAAACTGCATCAGGATTCGCTGCATTGTATTATGATCACATTGCGACAATAAATAGTGCAATAAAAAAGCGATATTGAACAATTAATTTATAATGAAGTTGCAGTCATCATTCGGAGATGCAAAACCAAAGCCACGCCGTGTCCGCTTCACCAAATTTCAACAATTGCCCTGAATAGATGCCCAATATTTTGTACATACCTCCACAAATTTATAGATAAATGTTGGGATGTTTTTTTAATCCCGTCATGTTGGCATAACGGCGTAACAATTTTAATTTACAAGAAAGAGAATAAAAACGACCCAGCCAACTTTGGCCCGATTACACTCCAATCAGTTATATACAAAATATTTTCAACTTAAATAAAAAATAGACTATACATTTTTTCAAAAAAAAATAAATTCATGAATACAAACACTCAGATCGGCTTCTATTCCACAATAGATGGCCTAGCCAAGAACAAACATTTGTTAACTCATTTGATAAAAGTTGCGAAAAAATATCAACGATCGATAAGTGTGATTTTGCTAAATCTACGTATTGCCTTCGGCGAAGTTAATCATCATCTCATCAACTCAGTTTTATAATATCACCATGTCCTACATTTTTTTCAGGCTTTGTATCAATCAACGACTAACTCACTTCGTTATTACCAGTTAGAAGAGGACTTCTGCAGGGAGACCAATGCTCCCTCTTTTTATTCAACCTTTGCTTCAATCCTCTCATGATGATCTTAAAAAGTCACAAATTTTTTGAAATAAACATAGTGTTTTTTTTTTGACTTTTCATGTCATCGAATTATTGCCATATTCACTAATAATAGATATTTACAATCCCTGGAAGACTTTTTACATCCTTTTTGTTCTGGAGGAAATAAGTCATATGCACACAAGTAAACATATATTCTACTTGACATGTAACTGGTGAGAATTGTAAACACTGTAGAAAGACACGTAACTGGCCTTTATTTACTAGGGTCTTAAGTATATGGTCCTCTAGGCATAAAGAATGTCATACCCACTGTCAGCCATTCAGGTATGAGTGATGTGTCTTCAATTTAGCATTATTTCTTGGCAGCTACTAGTTTTTTAATCCGAATATTTTTTTACTTTATCTGGTCCTGGGGTTTTCCAGTTTGATGATTTTTTAAATGGCTTTAGTGATTTCTTCAATGCTAAAATTTATCTATTTAAGTTCATCCAAGTAGTTAAATGCTTCTTTTATAACTTTAATCCAGTCAGCATAATTATTATTATTGTTGTTATTGTTGCTGCTGCTGCTGTTGTTGTTATTGTTGCTGCTGCTGCTGTTGTTGTTGTTGCTGTTGTGTTGTTGTTGTTATGTTACATACTTTCTTAAACATTAAACATCAAATTGTTTTGCTTATTTAAGGTTACATTGTATGCTCCAGCAAATGCAATCATTTATACTGATGTCCCGCTTGACACTGCCGTGAAGCTTATTGACTTCTATGAAAGTTATTTTGGAATCAAGTTTCCTCTCTCAAAACTTGGTTGGCTAAAATTTTATGTGTTAAATTGTTAACTGAAAATTATTTCGCATTTATTAAAAAAGCAAAACTAATTCAACTAAAATGCATGCTTAGAAGTTATCACATAATTAAAAAAAACAAACATACATTTTGTTGCTCATGCTAAAATAATTTATGAAAAAGTTATAAGTTTTCATTGCTTTAAATAATTATTTTCGAATACTCATGGCTAGAAAAAATTTCAGAAATTTAAAAATATTTTTAATATTCATTTCACTCACCATTTATTTTTACGATCAGCATTTTGAACTTATTCATTAATTTAAATAATCGCTTAAAACCGGCAAAACATACTCGCCATCTTCTAAGTTTCACATTATTCAGGATTTTTTTAATTTAAAAAAAAATGGCTTTTTGTTTAATTGTACAGAAGCTGATGCTATTTTAAAGAACAATATATTAATGAAATAAAAAATTTAAGATGACGTTTTAAATAACCAAAATAGGTTTGTGAAATTATTTTAAAAAGCATGTGTTGTAGGCAGAACACTTCATTTTGTAAGTCACTGGTTGTATGATGTCCCTCTCACTGTATCAATTGAGATACGTTTTTATGAACAAATTTTAAACAACTCACAGATATTGCATTCGTACATCTTTTGTCTGTTGGTTCGATGGCGAACTGGGGTTTGATGATTTTTGATTACAAGTATCTGCATTATGAACCACTTGTGAACGAGGAATATGAAAAACAGATTCTGACGCGTGTGTAGGCTAAAAAAATATTTTTACAGGTTAGATAATGGAAAGTTTTCAAATTGAATTTTATGATTAGGTTAAAAAGGTTTATTAAATAATTTTAAAATGTGGCTTTTGTTACTGAAATATCATTTCACACATCTTTCTTGATATTCCCAATAGTAATCCAGACAAACTTTTACATTTTCGAATTGGACAATTATTTTAATGAACCACATAAATAATCATGAGTGAGTATCTTGTTCCTTTCTGAAAAATTAATTAAATAAAAGAACTGATAGCACGCGACGGCATGTTAATACTCGGAATCCAAAAAGAAAACTTAGAATGACGTTTAAATATTAAAGGTCATTATGCCGACGGGAAATTTGGGATTTTTATAGTTCCCATGGGAAATGGTGAAAAACTTTTTTTTTATTTTTAACGTTTTTAATTTTTTACAAAAAAGGAAGATTATGACGAAGACGACGATGAAGGTCTTGAAGATAGTCGAGAAGTTGCCAGTGACAAAGACATTGTAACTTTTGATAGGCAGTGAGACTACCGTTTGCCTGCTTTCTTTTTTCTAAGACCTCTCATTGGTAACAACGACAACAGTGATTTAAAAGATAACGATGTCCGTTAAGGAAATGTTAATGCCGATGTGAATATTCATTCCGGGCACGAATTAGTGACAGATGATAATTCAAGTTTTGAAAAAGCCTTTTCAACTCGCACTTGCAAGGAAAGGTTAGTCCTCTGCTACCTGGTTGATGAAACAAAAATCACCAACATTAATCGAACCTGGTAAGTAAATTTCAATCCCAATAGCTACAACTTCAAATAAGCTGTTTTCTATATAAATGCATTCATACTAATAATCATTTACAAAATAATAGTATCAGTTAGAAACATTCACCAAAATAAATAAATAAACAACATTAACCAGCCACATTAAAAGGTGAATCAAATATCTAGACCGAAATGATACACATATTGAAGTCACAAAAACATAACAAAAGTAAAAAAAATTCTATAATGTGAAAAGATAAGACTTCAGTAATTTTTTAAACGAAAGTAAACTTAAATCAAAATTTTTCAAAATAAGATGACACACTGTTTCACGCAGTAGGACCAAAACAGAAAAATTTCTTTCTCCAATCCTTAGCTTGGTAGTTATATTCAGGTACATCTTAGAGATGCACCAAATAGTGAATTTGGCAAAAGGCCAAAGACTGAAAAACCTACTTTTTTGAGAAAAAATAATTTCTTAGAATAAAAACAAGCTAATTAAAAAAGGCGATTTATGTAAATCAACTTATTTATTAAGATAATATTCAATTTCTTGTTCGAATTTAGATGTTTCAACAACTATGATGTAAGAAATAAGTTTCTCGCCAATAATATTTAAAAATTATTGTTTTAGAATCCAAAAAAAGTAATAGTTTTAATGAAAGTAGCATTATTTGGCTATTTGGCCTATAATGGTTAAAGCTGAATCCAGATGTCAAATTTTCGCCAAATTTTCGATAAGGTTGAACCTTCGGTGCGTCTCTAGTTAATACATAATAAAAAAATTTTGTGAAAGATAGAAAGCACATGGATAATAACGATATTCTTATTTTAGTTTAGTACACAAGTCCTTCTGTTAATAAGATTCAGTGACAATTAAAGTCACAAACTTTGTCATCGTACATTCTGTTGCTCTGAGAAAGAATTCAAAGAGATTTTATATGAAAAATCATAATTACCATAACCTTTTTTAAACTTAAATATTGCACAAAATAGAAAACATGTTGACATTAACGTATCAAAAATTATGATGACAAACTAAATAGCACAATAAATTTAGTTTGTTTTGCACCTTATGAGATGGAGGAGATAAAGAAGTGACCTCTAAAATATCAAACTAACTCTTGGCTTCAAACAAATAAGGAGTGGTGAGTTTGAAACTTAAGAAACGCTTCTGCACCGGTTTTCTTGATGGTCCATTCTGAGGAATTAACGATCTAGTTAAGAATTATAAATAGTTTTGATTGAACTGTATAAGATACAAAATTTTTTATTTAATTCTGTAGAGTATTCTTGAGAAAAAGATTTGTTTTTGACTAGTAACTTTTAATTTCATTGTTTTCTTCATGGTACTTTAAATAAAATATAAAATTTTTTATTTCATTTTTTTAGTGGTTTGGCAGTTTGGTGACCATGAAATGGTGGGATGACTTTTGGTTGTATAAAGCTTTTGAAATGTTTCAACAATATTTTGGGGCAGACTTTTGGTTGTATAAAGCTTTTGAAATGTTTCAACAATATTTTGGGGCAGATCACCTCCTTCCAGGCCATCATATGGTAAGTTGATAATAACTCCACTCCATACTAATTCTTTTTGTGCTACGATTAAATTTAAAAAATTTTTAATTTCCAAAATGATTGTTTGGTTACGGATTAAAACTGTCATCCATCAATTTCATGCTACATATGTAGCCAATTAACGAAAATAACTTGAACTAATTTTTTCTGGCAGAGGGAGATGTTTTTTTTTAGAATAACGCTTGCATCACTCCTTAAAGATAATACGGACTATTCAAGCGCGATTTCAGTTTCCGTTGAAAACCACAAACTACTTTCGAAACTATTTGATAACGTCAAGTTTTCCAAGGTGTGTAAAAATTTGTTTTAAACAATCTTTGTTTTCGATAATCATAACCGATAGTCATGAAGTAAGAAAATAGTTTTTTAATTTTCAAGTGAAGAACTTAATTGTTGAAAATATGATTAATGCCTTTAGTACCATTTTAGTGCTTTTATTAAAATTAAATACACGACCTCAAAAAGAAAGACATCAAACAACAGATAAAAAAACACAGCTTACTTAGGACATTGTATTACATTTATTTATTGACATTTTACGAGAGAAATATTTTTCAAGATTTGTTTTTATTTCTGGTTGCTCTGAAAAGCAAATGATAAAACGCCACTAACTGTGGTTTGAATGTTATCGTTTACAAAATGTTGTTAACTTTTTAATAGCAGAAATAACTTTAAAATAGAACAAAAACCGGTCGAATACAATTAAATTAAATTTGGACGATTTTCAACTCTTAACACAAATTGAGTTTTTTGGTTAAATTTATTTAAATTTTGAACATATTTGCTCAAAAAGTTTATTTATTGAACAGTCTAAAATCATAATAATAAAATGAATCTAAGTTACTGCACATTGCAACTGATCATAAAACAACAATTGATATGAACCAGGGTGCCTCAATCATTCAAATGCTAGAAAGTGTTATCGGACCTGAAATATTCCAAAAAGCTGTAAAAAATTTTTTAACCGAACACGAGTTCAAGAGTGCCAAAAGTAGCGATTTGTGGGAATCGTTCACTAAGGAGGTCAGTTATAACAGCCATTTAATTATATTTTTCATTGAGTTTGTCCACTGCTTTTGCTCATTAGTCCAGTGGCTCTCTCAACATCGACGTGAAAGAAATGATGGATACGTGGACTCAGCAGATGGGGTTCCCTCTAGTCAGCATAAGCAGGAACGGCCGGCAGGTGACATGTCGCCAGGAGAGGTATGTCGTCGTTAACCACTCAAAGACTGGTGATGTTAACATAGAAGTTTCCAAATTCAAGTTGGTGACGATGACAATTGCAACATTTCAACGAACTTCAAAATGTAATGTAAATTAAAGATTTTTTGCGGCAGTATTTTTTATAATTTAAAAAATAAATGATCAAATACTATCAATGTAAACATCGTCCAACAGCTACACCTGGTACATCCCACTCACCTACATAACCGACAAAAACTTGACACGTCACTCAGTCGTCATTTTCAAGAACAAAACAAGTAAGTTTTGGTGGTGAAGAAGTTGACGACGACGATGATGATTATGGCGATTGGGGATAAAATTATCAAAGATGATAATGATGGTTATAAATGATGGCGCGATCATAATGGTGAAATTGGCCTTACATTGATAAATGCTAATTAATTTTATTTACTAGTAATGATGTATTTACTTTTTTATTCAGTGATCTTTCAATTGCCACGAAACGTTAATTGGCTGAAAGTGAATACCAAAATGCCAGGTATGTTGGCCTGGTGCTGCACTTAAACACGGATGTTATACTAATCTTTTAATACATATCTATTAAAAAAAAATTTTATTCAATAAATATTATTTCCCATTACCAATATTTTGTAATTATTTTTAAATTACAAAATCTAAACCTCAATATACTTTTCAAGGTTTTTACCGAGTCAACTATGATATGAACGGCTGGTCTGGAATTATCAACCAGCTCAAGTCCAACCATAAGGTTACATTATTTTTTGCTTGAAGGCATTGAAGGGATGATAACAACGAAGAAGACAATTGAGATAGCGATGATAATGTTAATTGTGTCGGCAAAAATATAATGAAAATGTTGACTGTGACTTTCCAGAACCTCGAGAATAGATATTTTCATTTCCGGAGTGTTTCGTCTTTTTGCAAGACGAGTAGACAGGCTGAATTTAAATTTATTGAGAAAATGATTGCTGTCGACTGATATGAGGAGGATCTATTGCAAAACATTTAGTTTTTACGTCTGCTTGAAATAATGGAATATTTGAAATAAAGTTTTAAATGTTGATGGCAATAACTGAACCATCTTCCTCCGTGCAGGTCTTCTCGTCCATAGAAAGAAGCAGTTTGATCTCGGATGCTTTCACCCTTGCCAGGTTTTGCGTTGATACTTTTTAAGCAATGTCTTTTTCATTTTTTGTGTTTATCTACACACAAACACCACACAGACACACCCCACACACAAACACCACACAGACACACACACACTCAAGCACACTGAATATGATAGGCGGCATATCTTTTCATTTGAATGCAATCACGCGCCTTCAACAATTACATTTCCTTCCCGCTCAAATAAATGATGTTAAATTTTTTACCATTTTTTTACTTATTTGACTATTAATTAAGTCAAATCAGAAAAATATCTAATTATCTATCTAACCAAGAAAGTTCTGAAACTCCTTAGGTCTGAGGTGTTAGCCTTATTATAATTTATACAACAGTTCAGGTCACTTAAAAATGACAAAGGTCCTTGAACTTTGTTTGTACATGGAAAAAGAAGAAGACTTCCCGCCATGGTCGATGATGTTGAATAGCATCAGTTCAATTCTCGATCTATTCTCATCTAATCCTCATTACGACAAACTTAAGGTTGAAATTGTTTTTGTGAAAATTAAAAAACTAACGTCAAATATTCAACAAATTGAAACTAACATTTGAAAAATCAACGTAAAAGGAATTTTTGAAAAAAATAATGTCACCAATGCTGACCAAACTTGGCTTGAATGACGAAGGAACTGTTGATAGAAAGTTAGTGAACATGTTGCCTAGAAATAAATCATAATTATTTACGGTTTTCTCGTTGGAACTTTTTACAAATTATTCCATTCTGTTTGAACTATTATTTGGAAGACTAAAAAATAGTTTTAAATAAATTTTGTTTAGGCCTTACTTCAAATTAATTTGTAATTTTGATTAATGATCTTTACATCCTTTAGAGATTTAAGATATGAAGTGAAGGCTTTGGCGGTAAAACTTGGTTTTCAGGAGTACGTAGATTGGGTGAAGAATTCATTCAAGAAGGCTGTCAATGGGACGAAGTTAGCGCAGTATTTATTATCAGACGTTGACGGAAAGGGCAAAATTATTTCGCTAAAAAAGACGCTGCTCTAATCAAACATTTATCACTGATTTTGAATTTTAATTTATTTTCTGATGAAAGCTTAAAATGTTTGTCGGTAATGTAAATTAGATTGAATAGCTTATTTGACAAAATTTCTACATAAAACAGTATCAGTTAATTAATTGTTACAGTTTTATTCATTTTCTAGAATTCATGGGATTAATTGTCTACTAAATTAAATTTATATTCACTATAAAAATTTACCTGATTCAGACTAATAGTGGAACACGAGTTGCTCGTATACAGGTACGCTGTGAGATATGGTGGAGATGAAGAATGGAAGTATGTGATGGACATGGCCTTGAGACCCAACGCATCATTTACTCAAAAACATTTAGGGCTGGAAGCACTTGGATACACCACAGATCGCGTAAAAATGAAAAAGTTTGTGTATACTTGTTGTTTATCACTGCATTAGTGAAGTTAATTCTTTTATTATTACAATTTTAGTTTAAAGTTTGTTTTTAGAAAAACTCATCTTAATTTAAGCACCATTTATTTAGGGTAAAATCATATCTTTTTGAATATATTTTAATACTGCCGGTCGCAAAGAAGACATGATTTTCTCGCTGTAAAGGTTACGGGGAATGTACAGACAAAAAGGTTAAAGGCCTTGTAAACTTCAAAAATTTTTAAAAATTGACAATATATAAAAGGAGCATATGAATGAATACGTACTAAACGATGCATTACACGCAGAGCCTAGCATGTCAAAAGTGGAAATCTTTTTGTTATATTCAAACCCGTCACTGTACCCACTGCTAAACAGGACCAGACGTCTTTATTATTATCATTCTCTCATAGACATTCCTCAAAGGTTATGAATTAAATGCTTTAATGAACCAGTGCATTTTCAGATCCTGTTTGATTTTTTTACTGGAGCAGTTTGTTTCAGACTCAGTGAATTCTGAATTTTTGGCTAAGCAACTTGCATACATCTATTACCCAGATTCGTCTTTATTTTATGGACTACCATCAATTCACTGGGGATCGATTGCAGAGCTTAGATATTTTTTACGAAAAACCACTTTCAAGTATTCTGGTCCACCTCCATAAATGCCACAGTGAGCAATCACTGCCATTTTATAGGAAATTCTTTTGCGCATCGGCAAACAATGATGATTCTCCAACCACCCAATTATGTCATCAGGTCTACCAAGCCTAACCACCAGTCTTCCAACGCCGAACTCTGAGGAACACCATCACCATCAAAATTGATTGAACATTTAGTTGCAATGCAGTTTATTCAATATTTGATTGTACATAATTTTTTGCCATCTTTACAATCTAATTAACAAAAATTTCACTCCACGGAAACAGCACTTATTGGCGTGGCGTCTCACTTGTTTGAATCCATGGAATTGCTTAATGTTTCATTTTTTGCTCTTCTTGACATGAGCGCAGCAATTGATTAAAATTACTTGCTGATAAATTTGTTGTTGTTATTCATATTTAACGGCATTTATGCTCCCAAAGTGGTGCAATTGTTTGCCAAATTAAGAAAAAATTATTTTTTTTCTTCATGTGGAAAAATAGAAGTTCAGATAATATGAAAACTGTTTATTGCACTGAACGTGGGGAAAGAGAAATACCATGGGAAAAATATTTAAATCATATCGTTGATAAATTTAAATGCTGTGATATTACAGGGTCTGCTTTTTAATGGTTTGAGTCTTATTTAATTGACCGTACTCAGCAGATTAGTCACAATAATGTCTTTACTCCAAGTGAGGTTGTGAGATATGGTGTGCCACCAGTTCTCGGTCCCAGTTTATTTCATGTATATACGACTGATGTTTTTAATATAATCGATAGTCATAATTTTAAATACCACGGTTATGCAGATGACGTTCAGATTATTAATACTGGTCCTTTAACAATGTTTCCAGTTTTGATTGATAAATTTGTATCATGCCTTGGTGAAGTTGATCGTTGCATGAAAACGCATCGCCTAAAATTAAATACTTGTAAAACTTATGAAAGTTGGCAAGTGGCAGTAATTATCAAATCAATCAATCAATCAATCAATCAATCAATCAATCAATCAATCAATCAATCAATCAATCAATCAATCAATCAATCAATCAATCAATCAATCAATCAATCAATCAATCAATCAATCAATCAATCAATCAATCAATCAATCAATCAATCAATCAATCAATCAATCAATCAATCAATCAATCAATCAGCTTGTAAAGCGCTATTTCCGTGATGTTCAACAGCGCTCCTCAATGAATTTTGCAAACAGATGGGTCTTGAGATCCGCTCTGAACTTCGCAAGTGATGGAGAAGTAATCAGAGAAAGAGGTAGAGAGTTCCAGAGAAAAGGGCCAGAAAAAGCAAAAGCAGATTTAGCAAAAGAGTGTTTAACACGAGTTAAGAAGAAGCGTGAATAAAAAGACGATCGTAAACCGGGGCGTTTAGGTTCAATTAAATTATCTGATAAGTACTTAGGAAATAATTGAAATTGAGACTTGTACATAAATGTGCAATTTTGAAAATTATTCTACATTTTATAGGTAGCCAGTGCAAGAGAACAAGATATGGAAATATTATTAATAAGACGAGGTAGTTCAGAGGTATAGAGTAAAAATAGAAGAGGGCCAAGGATAGAACCCTGAAGTATCCCTCAAAATTGCATATTGGATCGGTTAATATTGATGGTAAGTCCATCTGTGCGCATCTGTGCGCAAAAAAAATTATATATACATATATATAATTTATATTATTAGAAAAATTATTAGAAAACTCTTGGACCACACTGTTGAAATCTTACATTACAATAACAACCATTATAATTTACGACTACCCGGATCAATACACATAGAACAAGGACATCCGATAATAAATATTAAACAACGGGCAATTGGAAGTTTTCCTACAAATAAATTTAGAAGCACGGGAATCATCGATAATGAAAACACAAACACGTAAAAGTGTTATATTTAACGAAGTTGAAGATTGTAAAACTAATTAAATGAGCGTTAAGTATCCACTTTAAGCAAACAAGGAATCAACAAAGTAGAGTAGAGGCACAGTATATATATATATATATTTGAGCATATGGGCACATACACAATATATCAATTTGAACACCGAAAATGGTATACGAATACCGAAAAAAGCTTTTTCTGTTCTAGCATGCATAAAATAAACAAATTTTTGGTTTTTAACTAAAAAACTCGAAAGATGATCAACCACATATATACATTTAATGCTATATATATATATATACATCTATATGTATATATATATTTATATACATATGTATATATATATATATATATAACGTAAAATTTCTTTATGGCTCCATTGCTTGCATATGGTTATCTTCTTTGTTAACGCACACGGACACGTGTTGAGTTGCATAAATAACTGACATTTTATCATAATTGATTTTTAAATTTGGGCGTCTATATGTTGTTTTTCTTTATTTATTTCGTTAATGATTTTGTTGCTTGGGTTGCTGTTTTGCTTTTGCCTGTGTGTTTCCTGGTCATGTATTACAAAAAAGTATTTTTTTAACTAGGTTTTTAATCAGAACACATTTCCAATAATGTTTACTCTTCATTCCTCGCAAAAATGAATTTCTGTATTAGAATATTACAAAATCGACTGAATTTAAATAATAATCATAAGCAGATAACAATAATTTATTTTGAATAAAAATACAAAAATGAAATAATCATGAGTTTCAAACCATTTAATTTTTAACATCACTAAACTTCTTAAACATCAAATGCTTCAGATTGTTGGAAATGTCATTCAACCAGACGCTGCTGAAGTCAATGGATACTTTTAGAATCCTGGAAGCAATTGAAAAGAATCCGGCTAATAAAGAGATTCAGAGGGATTTTATAATAAAAAACTGGAACAAGACAAATGAAATGTGAATAGTAAATAGTTATAATTTATATTAAAAAGATAATATAAAATAATAACAAATAATCAGACATCTGAAATGTAAATAGCAAATAACCATAAACAACAATGTCTTATGTTGCGCATCTGAAAGTGTCCTTCAGGTGTTTAGGGATTGAGCAATCGCCGCTGGGTCCTCCCAAAGGTCAGTAGTTGTAAGGATGGAAAGGTTTTCTGAACAGTTGAATAGGTGGTGGGTAGTGTGATTAAGTGAAGAACAGAGATTGCATCTATCAGATATTTTATTGGCTGTTGAGATGTGTTGATTAGCCATATTAGAGCTGAGTCAGAGCAGTTATGTTTTTGCAAGGAAAAAAGTAAACCCTCAAATTTTTTGATAGGTAAAGAAGGTTGTTGAGTATAAAGTTGAATTTTAAGGAGTTGATGATATCGAAAACAGTTAGAGGTATGAATGTGACAGATTAGATCATTGTTGGTATGATTGTGTGGAAAGGATGATAAGACATTTTTCAGTGGCTTGAGCTGAAGGTGTTGAGTGTTTGAAAGTTGTTTAGTGTGGAGGTGCATTGATGAGATGATGACATAGATGGGAGTTATTAAGATTGGACTAAGCTTTCTTAGTCTTCAAATATTATCAAATAGTAGGTCTGATAAGATCTTAATTTCCTGATAAAGGTATTTTATGCGGGTAATGCAGTTATTGTGCGTAAGGCAGAGTTTTAGGAGGTTTGTAATTTTTGAAGGTTGGCGAAAGATATGCTGGGTAACCATCAGATGGGTGTTGATAAAATGATGGCCTGTTGGCAAGTTGTTTTGTTTGTCACGAAAAGCCTATTATTTGTTGTCCCTAATTAGAGCCAGCTTAAAATTTAAAAGTTTCATTCCGTTGTTGGCACTTCTTTGCTATTGTTTGTGAATGTTCGTTAAATGTAAAAAAAAATGTGTTAAAGTTGATGCCGAGTAATCTGGAATGTTTTTCAATTTGTAAAATTTTATTATTGATGGTTACGTAGGAATGAATGTTGACTTTTTTTGTGAGGGGTTAAAGAGTGTGTCTGTAGATTTTGTAGTTGAGAGTGTGGGAGAGCATTGCTGAAAAAGGAAATAAAATTTGTGAGGTAGCTGTTGAAAGTTGTTGTGATTGGTTTTATAAGTAAGACAGAGGTAGTAGTTCACATTGCGTAGTTGTTTACATTAGTTTTGTGTGAAAGAACAGGTATATTTATGATGTAAGCATTGAATAGAGCTGGTGGGATCAGAGACCCTTGAGGTGCCACTGTGTAGATTATTCTTGTTGTTGAGGTGGTGTAGCAAAGTTGAGTTTTGCATTGGTGGCTGGAAGGTAGTTTGAGATCGTCAGAGATGAAGGCTGGCTGTTGATGTTGAGTAAGGTGAGGTGGTTGGCTGAGTCGAAAGCTTTAGTCATAAACCATTTTGATATCTCATAACAAAGAATGTTCATCAATAGCTTTACAATATTCAATGCAATTCTTAGATATTTTTTGTAAAATGCTACTCAATTTAATTTATAATTAGCATGAAAGTAATAATAAAAAATATAATAAAATAAAAAAAATATAATAAAATAAAATATAATGAACTCGAACGCAATCAATCAGTTTCCATGATAAACCTTCTAAACTGTTGGAAATTTTGAAAGATATGTCATTGCATTTTTCAACTGAAGCAGAATATAACGAAGTAAGCCTAATTATGTTTTTAATAAACAACAATCTTAATGCTGCATCTCAAACTTCTGATCAACTTTTTAAACATATCTTCTTTTACTTTTAAATCTTCAGAAACAAAACTCTTAAACAATAGTAACAGAATTTTTATATCAAAATAAAAACAAATTTTGCCCAGGGCATTACGAATGTGTTTTTTTTGTTATTTGGATATGATTTCACCTAAACATATTTTAAATGTTTTTCAATTTATCAAATGTATTGAAATTAGTCATTATTAATTAATCTAGAAAAATATTAAATTATTCATGCCGACTGTATGATGAAACTAACGCACATGTTTCAGTTGAAATTGTTCCTCAGCTTGAACATGACCGTGGGAAGTGAAAACCAGAAGACAGAACTTTTGGATCGTGTTCGTGTCAATATCAAATGGAAGGAAAATAACGAAAGAGAACTTGTTCACTGGCTCAAAGAACATTTTCATTGATGAAATTTCAAACGGAACCGAAAATTATTTGAAGAGATTTTGGTAGACAATTTAATATAACAATGAATCTTGTTTAGATGTAAATGTCATTTTAAATACAAACTTATTTAATTAGTAATTTATTCTATTTTTAATAAATTTGTTATTACATATCTAACAAAAACAAACCTTAGAGCCATTAAATTACAAAAATTTAATTGAAATATCCACAAATGCTAAATTATGATTATTACATTACATTTATAAGTTTATTCAGATAACGTTATTTTTTTATCAGGTTTTAAAGTTTATTTAATATCAATAACATTAAAAATTTATTTATATTAACCGTAATGTTGAATTTTTATTCTAACTTTATTATTTATAATTAATTATGAGCATTGAAGAACATCAATGTCCATTTGACCTATCATTAAGTTGAAACATGTATGTTAGTTTCATCATGTAGAGTCGGCATGAATAATTTAATATTTTTCTACATTAATTAATAATGGCTAGTTTTAATACATTTGATAAATTGAAAAACATTCAAATTATGTTTAGGCGAAATCATATCCAAATAACAAAAAAACACGTTCGTGATGCCTTGGTAAATTTTATTTTTATTTTGAAATAAACATTCTGTCACTATTGTTCAAAAGTTTTGTTTTTGAAGATTTTATAGTCAAAGTAGAATTGTTTAAACAGTCAATGTGAAGTTTGGAGCGCAAATACTAGAATTGTTGTTATTTTAAAAACTAATTAGGGCTAATTGGTAAAAGGCACTTGGTCTTGCTATGGCAATACTGGGTTTCGAATACAAAGAGTCCCCCGCCATTCATATGCAATGTGTATGATGCGTGGTTTGCACGCGTATTCATATACGCTGTGTGGGTTTGTCGTTGAAACATCTGAAGCTAACGCAAAAGAGAGAGAGTAACCTTTAACCTTTAATTCATTCAATTCTGTTTGAGTTGAGAAATGCGATGACATATTCCTATTTCAGTCAATAAACACACACGCACATACAAAGACTAACACGCATAGAAGCCCGCAGACACACACAATCTGATTATGAACTGTCATTTATCACGACAGACGTGTACTTATTTGTCCAGTCCAAAGAAGGAAACGCAGACGAAAACTTGACAAATCTGTGCAGGCATCCTGAGCACACGAGGCTGGGAACGAAAATTTTTCAATAGTTAAGAGGTTTCATCAGGAATTTTTATGAATGCATTTGAGTTCATTCATTATATTTATTTATTATTACTTTCACGCTAATTGTAAATTAAATTGATTAGCATTTTACAAAAAAAAATTGTTAATAATTGAATTGAATATATTGAAACAAAGCAATTTATGAACGTTCTTTGTTATGACATATCAAAATGATTATTGATTAAAGTTTATGACTCAGCCAACCTCCTCTCCTCACTCAACATCAACAGCCAGCACACTTTTCTAGATGATCTCCAACTAACTTCCAAGCCATCAATGAAAAACTCAACATCGTTGCACCACCTGAACCACAAGAATAGTCCACACAGTGGCACCCCGATTGTCCGTGACCTCATCATCACCTCGTAAGATCACGGCCTATTAAATGCTTACATCATAGACTTACCTGTTCCTCTACACAAAACTAATGTAAACAGCTGCGCAGATGACCTCACTATCTCATCCTCTGGCCAACTCCTAGAACCAATCACAACCACTCATTCCAGATTACTCGGCATCAACATTGACAACTTTTATTACATTTAGCAAACATTCACAAACAGTAGCAAAGAATAAAAACAACTGAACAAAACTTTAAATCTTCAACTAGCTCTAACTGGGGACTACAAAAAATAGCGCTTTTCGTGACAAACAAAGCAACTTGCCGACCAGCCAACAACTTAGAAAGACCCATCTGATGGTTTTTATAGAGTTTAATTTGTTTAATTAAGAGATTAAGTTAGATTTTTGATTGCTTTATTAGACCGTATGAATTTTTCTTTGATATATTATCTTATCATTTTATCGTTAACTCTGTTAATCACTCCAATAGTTTAGGGTTTTTTCAAAAGTTTTATTGATTTCAGAAGTATGCTTTCTTCTTTATTATCTTAATTTTAATTTATTCAATTTATTTCATTTTAATATTCGTAATTGTATGTTTTTTGAGTTTTAGGTTAGGCCCAGTTAAATTCTTATAAATTGGGCTGAACAGACTTATTTGATTAATTAATTGATTGAGTGATTAAAAAAAAGTCAGTAATCAGCAGATAATGCTCGGCCCGTACAAAACATTAGTCGGACCTAAACTGGAATATTGTGTTCAAATACGGAGCCCGTGTTGGCAGAGACTTGTTAGAAAAATTTCAACCACGGGTAGTTAAACATTGTGCTTAAATTATTTAATTTTAATTAACGAAACATTTTTATTGTTTGTTTTTTGTAAAATTTGTTGATACATAAATAATTTAGATTTAAAAATAAGAGATAAATGTCTACAAAACTACATCTTCATCAGCCCATGCTGGTAACAGGATTTCTGGGAGTGTTGGCAATATCGACAGCACGCTGGTCGCGAATGATGTTAACAACGAGTGTTCTCGAGTTAAGATATTCATTCATTGGCATGGTTTCGGGCACCCACATATTGTTCACGAATTCTGGATCCCTCTTGGATCTTTCACTTTCCAGCTCCATATCAACAGACCTCGTTTTCTTCCTGTTCAATTTTTCCTGTTTTTGTAGTTCTTCCATGCGCAGTTGCCAGGCCATCCTGATGACGTCAGCTACTGATACCTCAGTGGGAGCCCATCTCTTATCACGGAGGTTGTTCGGAACCTCCATTGACTCCAACGTTCTTGCTGCAACTGGCATCACCGTCATGTTGATGCACACGAGAGCCAATGTTGCGATGATGTGTGAAAACTTCATTCTGACTCAATAAAAAAAACAATACGGTTTGTATCTTGTTTAAATTTGAAATAATTTTTGTGTAATACTAACTTTTTATTTTAGCTAGAAAGTTTCAATTTTATTAAACCTAAATACGAAAGATTTTTGTTATTTGAATGAGCTCAGCGCATCTTATATACATAACAGAAGAGATATTCATCAGAAACAGTAGGAGCTATGTCCTTGAGACTTCAAAGGAGAATGTTTGCTCGTCAACCAATTAATCACCGCATAAGAAAAAGCTTTGATTCATAGAGTGTTGCACAACATCCGCTGACTTCTTTGAAAGTTCCAATGATTGATGGGTGCAGGGATTACGTAAAATAATGCAGATAAAAAGATTCAGGGCAGCTTGAGATGTTTCATTTAATGTGATAATTATATTTATCAATAATTCTTCAACAATAAAATAAATTATTTAAAAACTGGCTGATAGAAAAATAAAATAACAATGATACAGAACTGACCATTCAACGAAACTTATCTTTATATTTTTAGAGTATGATTGATTAGTTTATTTTTTTAGCTAATCTATTTTTTTGTTTATTATTTTAGCTATGTACTAATTTATTTATTAATTTATTTATTAAAAATTTGAAATTATATTTTATGTAATTTTTCAATTCAACTCGTTGGTCTATTGATTTAATTTTTTAAAACAAATTTATTATGAATATATATTGTATTAAGATACCATTTTTCTGTATGTTTGTAGGTATTATTTTACAGTATTTCAAAATTATATGTGACTTGCTGGTGCATTATATTATTGCAAATGTGGTTTAGAAATTTCCATTCAATAAGAATACCTGTGACTCGAACGCACTCGCGCTTATTTTCAGTGCGCTTCAAGATCTGGTGTCATTTTTTAGTTCACAAGAAATCTACAAATTTTCTAATTTTTATATTTTATAGCTGTTAAATAATTTTCAATCGTTTTTAAAAGATTTTAATTAATTTGATTAATTCATTAATTATATTATTTCATGGATGTGCATAAAATTTCAGCAACTTTTGTCTTTTTTGTCTGGTGTCAATAAGAATCGTAATGATCAGAGAACATTATCACTGACAGGCCTCCTAGAAATTGTCCGCAAGACATGTCATGTTATATAAATAGAATTTTATTGCTCTTCCGATATATACTAAAACCTGTTTTTGAAAGTTTCCTGTTGGATTTGGGAGAAGTCTGTATATGACAGGCCAGAAAAACTGTTTCGAAATGAAGATATTTGCATCAGAAGTTAGTCATATGAACCGGTGAACAAGTAAACAGGTGAACAAGAAGTTGAAATTACATATTTAAGGATATTGCAATTTTCAATTAAATACATTTTAACGACCAACTGGAGTTTTAGACAAAAAAGACCAATTTATTTTTGAACAAAACCACACAACAAACCGAATGAATCTTTCTTGAACCAAAACTTCAGATCTTTCATTTTAACGAAATAATTTTTTGACACCTATTAAATATTTTTTCCTATAAAATATTTCAGAACATTTTAGATTTTAACGTTATGTTAAAGTTATTTTGATGTCAGTTTGTAAGGACTAAAAGTTTAAGTAGACTTTTTATAAAACATTTTCTGGCAGATGGACAGCTCTGGTAATTTTATTTTGAGAAGAGTTTCAAGAAAAACAAAGCTACTTTATATTGTATTTATAACGTAAAAACATTTTGAAATTTAACTGAAGAGAAAGCAATGTCAATTAAGAAAATATAGTCAGCGTTTTATAAAATTCAACAAAATTCATGATCTTCTACTTCTAAAATATTTCTTCCCTGCAACCAAATTGGAGTTCCGCATTGAAGATTGTTTGAATCTTTCAAAATGTTTCTATCTTTCAATGACTTCAGCCAATGTTTGAACCACACCTTACCGCAACTGCAATCCCAAGGATTGTTGTCCAGAGTCAATTCCGTGGTTGTTATGATCCCAAAATAAAACGGCAAAGTTGTTAGCTTGTTGGATTGAAGATAAACTTTTGGAATGTTGAGAATTGCAGGCAAAGCTGTCAGTGAAATGTTTTCTATATTATTATTTGTCAAATTAAGCCATGCCACGTTTCCAAAATAGTCTTTGTACTCAACATTAGATATTGATGATCCTGCAAAGTTCAATTTGTAAGGAGGTTCGTATGGATTAACCACATTTCTAGGAGGAAGACTTTGTGGAAGTTCTTTCAAAGACGGGCAAGTTATTTGGAAATAAGTGTTGGCTCGTTTGATGCACGAACAATCTTTTATGCACGATTTTGAAGTAACATCACATTCCAATTCATCAATTTTCACACTAATCCAAGGCCGATTATGTAAGGCAGGAGGCTGGTGACAACGAGCTTCATTCATAAAACTCACTTTACCAATGTTTCTTAACCTTGGCCAGGTCATATCATCTACACAGTCACAAATGAATGGATTGTTTGCAGCTATTTTAATAGTAACGTCTGAATGAATTTTCGGCCCCATGAGACAAATAAAATCCACATCAGTTTTTAAAAACGATTTAAAAAAATCGCTCAGCCTTTCAATTCGATTTTCTGTCAATAAATAATCAAAATAATAACCATCTTCGTTTTCATACTCGTTGCAGTCGTAATACCATTCCATGTTGTTTGTGAATTTGTTGATCTTGTTGTTCTTCAAATTGACAATGGTGTGCCTCAGATGAATCCCTCTGTATATTGGCCATGGATCTACACTCGTCAAGTCGTTGTTTTCTAGTGCTATCTCCAATAAACTTGGTGTGGCGGGAATGTTTGTGAATACGTGCGTGTCTACAAAGTTGATTCGGTTGTTATTCAACTTTAGTTTCTTTAGATTCACAAGACCATCAAACGTGCCATCATCTAATCTTTCGAGCAAGTTGTTAGTTATCTCTATTTCTTCAATGCTAGTTAGGCGATTGATGCAATTTTGTGGCAACACACTCAAATTGTTGTTAGTCAGACGTAAGCTTTGTAGTTTGGACAGTCTGCAAATAACATCAGGCACTTCATGAAGCCTGGTGTTTTCTATTCTGAGATGGAGTAAACCTGGATCTTCATTTAACAGGCCTGTTAAAAGTCTGTTGAAGTTTCTGTTTCCTTCGTTGCCCAAATTGCAATCTATCAAAGTCAGCAAGTAATTTTCAACAAAGGAAACTGTTTTACATGATTGTCTGAATTCTTTCTCAACATCAGTTGCGAGTGTGTTTGAACCTCTTGCTAAAACAAACAACGTAAAACATAAGAGAAGATACATCATGGTCTGTCCTAGGAAACTATAATAATTTCAATTTTTACTGTTTTATTAAATACGGAAATCAAAATATAACATTTGCAAATTCAAAGTAATCAGATAAAACGTCTGAAATATTTTGAAAGTTTGTTAAATTCAATCGATCGATTGTTGTCTTTTATACTCAATTTCATATAAACTTTGAAACACTTGATAACACGTTTCCACATTTAAGGTTATATTTCAATTTTTCAAGTGTATTACTTTTAAAAATTATTGAATAATAATTCTTATTAAAAATAGTTGTTTCAATTTTATTTTTGATACCATGACATAAATAACAAATAAACTCATTGCGCCAAAATTTTTTATTCATTGAGCTTCGTATCACTATTGGATGTTCGTTCCCATCGTGTTGTTAGGACGACCTGAGAGTAGGCGCTCTTGAAATATCTGTCTGATTAATTGTTCAATTTACGTAAGCGATCAAATTTGAATAAAGTACTTAGTTTTGAATTTCGTTAAATTTAATTTGAGATGTTTTTTTGCATAAATGTTTAATCAATTTGAAAGTGCTCTACATAATTAAATTATCTATATTGAAAATTATATTGATATTATTTTAGTCTCTTGTTCACCAAGTGGTTCAAAAATTGTTGGAGTTTTAGTGAGATTTTCCGAACATCTAAAATGCTTGATTTCATTAAAAAAAATTAGAATTGTCGTTACCATCATCCGATTAAAAGTTCTAAAAACTTTCAACCCGTTTTTCCGTTGTGTGATTGACGTTTCTTCAAAATATATACATACTTTTGTTATTCAACAAAATCATTTCCATGAGCTTAATTATAAATTCAAAAATTTTCTTAAAAAATTTAAAACAAATTACGTGAATTTTTGTATGCTGAAGTGGGGAGTTACGCGAAACTATTCGTTTGTTGGCATGCTAATTATGAAGTTTAAACATTTGAAATAACTTTGTTGTCACTGAAGTTTGGTAAAAACGTTGGCGAATAAAGTGCATACCAAACAAAGTTTAGTTAGATAAAATTGGCACAAAAATTAAATGAATTTGAAATTTTTTTTCTAAATTTTTGGAATAAAGATCAAGTGAATTTTTATACTTCAAAAATATTAAATTTATATAACAAGCTCGAGTAAAATAAAATAAATTATAACATATCATGAGACAGAACTGTTTTTTCAAAACTTTTCAAGTTTTCACCACATAATTTTAAAGAAATATTCCAAGTTAGTTAGTTGATTAAATAAAACAATATTGATTGCACAAACAAAATCTGAAGAATGATAAATCATTTATGCGAAATCGGTCACTGATGAATTAGCACTTTGTACAGTAACCGGTTTCACATGAATGAGGTTTTTTGTGAAAAATTGAGTTTCGTCAAAATGTTTTTGTTTAATCGAATTTTATGTAAAACATTTTGTTGTTTTTAATTTGTTGGTTTTCACTGAGTTAAAAATTTTATGTTAATCTAAATTTCAATTTGATTTTAGCTTCCATTTCTTTAGTTTAAATGATCTTCGTTAGGTTGACGTCTTATGTTTTTGACGATTTCTGTTGTTGTTGAGCATTTATGCGTTTCTGTTTGAGGTGTGTGGCTGAGTTGTGTGTGACATCATGCTCATTCATAGTTTTGTTGTTGCTGCTGTTGTTGTTGATTTTGTTCGAGTCGTTAGATGGCTGAAGGTTGTCGTGAATTGTACATGACCGTTGATACAATTTGAGGCCTCCTACATTCTTACATTGTTATTGAGCAAGTTATTGAGTTAAATGAAAAATTATTTAACAAGTTTGATTTGAATATATTCGGCGAAATGTTAATGTTAAGCTTTATTCTAGAACGTACACTGTTATAGATAAAATTCGAAGTAACTTTTGTACTTTCATTTGTCAAATTAATTGATTTATTATTAAAATAGTAACAAAATATAAAACAAAATTGAATTTAATTTTTACTTACTGCAATATTTTTTACCCAATTATCTAATTAATTATTTGAATTAAAACCAAAAGTACGTACTAAAATCAGTGGGATGGTTGAAACGGCCAACTAACTCTCTTGTTTATATGATAACACGAATAATAATAATAATAATAATAATAATAATAACAATAATAATAATAATAATGTTAATAGTAAACTGATCACCGGCTTATCACGTTGTTTATAACTTGGCGATATCTTGAACACATCGTGGTTGTTTCAGAACTGAACGTGGTTTGAATACGCGTTAAAAGAAAATCTGCTTTTAAATCTTCAAAATTTTTCGACAGCAAATTTTGTTAAATAAATATAGGGAATCTGAAACTGATTCAAAAAAATACTGAAGCAATCAGCACGATAGAAATAAAAATAATTAAATAAAGATTAAAATCCATCCTCTCTCTTTCACTTGCTTCAGAGTTATGAGATAAAATAATTGGAGTTGGAGGTAGTTGTTGCCGCCAAACACTTGAAAATTCAGAAATGAGAAAAACAAATGTTGAAAGTTCTATTTTGTGGACCTGCATGTAACCTAACAATTGAGTCTCAAAGGTGAAAATGTCTTAATGTGATCACGAACTTCAAACTTTATACATATAATCACTGAAAAACTTAAAAAAAAAACATTAAAAAATTTCAATATATTTTTTCATTTTCTATAATCAAAAAACTATTAAATAACAATTGAATTTATTGGAGGCAAAAATAATTTTATCGGTAGGTAAAAAATTTCATCATGAACTTTGTGTCACAGTCAAACAAGATACTTTAATATCATAAAATAGTTATATGCATATTTTATTTAATTTGTTGGTAAACTACGCTGGCCCGCTCAATCCATCGTTTGGAGGTGGACCAAGTTTTTTAACAGGAAGGCAGTAGAGAAAGTGATTCAGGAAGGTCTGGGAATTGTCATTAACGATGTAGGTATGGGAACGCAAGAAATTGTACATGTCCAATGGCATGGCACTTGTTGAAATATCAATTGATTTGTCCAACAACATCACCAATCTGTGGAAGCGTTAAAATTATGCATTTAAGTTGAATATCAATTTCGAGTGTGTACATGTTTCACTTTTCGTACAGTTGATTAGAAAAAAGTTATATCACTACTTATAAAATATTCGACTTGAATTAATTAATATAAGTAACCTATTTTTTTTCAAACGAATGTTTCTATCCAAAGCCATTTCGAAAGCCCGCAGGCAGTTGACATTTGTGAGAAATTCGTCAGATAAGAAACAGACAACTCTTTTGCTGAATTCGACCGCATGTTTGATGCTCTCAATAACAGGCTGACCAACTGGAAAAGTTTTTTCCTGGTAACTAATTCGATAGCCTTTAGATTCTAGTAAACGCAAAAGAAATATGGCTTGTTCGCTGTCCGCACAACTGAAGAAAGCATCAAATTCCATGTTTTCCCCTTGGCATTCATCTCTATCGAGTGGGTGAATTTTTAAATAAGTATTCAATTGTACCTTGAAAAATTTCACTAAGCAAAATATTACAATAAGTAGAAATAACACGATTGCAAATGGTATAATAAAGGTGAAGTGGTATTCGTTCGGATTTCTGCAAAACTCTTCATCATCAATTTGAAGAATGGTTTTACTTTTTAACCATTCAGGAGAACCGCAATGGACGCTGAGTGAATCCTGCAGAATCTTGCCGTCTTTTAATGACTTCAGCCAATGTTTGAACCACACCTTACCGCAACTGCAATCCCAAGGATTGTTGTCCAGAGTCAACTCCGTGGTTGTTATATTTCCAGAATAAAACGGCAAAGTTGTTAGCTTGTTGGACTGGAGATAAACTTTGGGAATGTTGAGAATTGCAGGCAAAGCTGTCGGTGAAATGCTTTCTATATTATTATTTGTCAAATTAAGCCATGCCACGTTTCCAAAATAGTCTTTGTACTCAACATTAGATATTGATGATCCTGCAAAGTTCAATTTGTAAGGAGGTTCGTATGGATTAACCACATTTCTAGGAGGAAGACTTTGTGGAAGTTCTTTCAAAGACGGGCAAGTTATTTGGAAATATGCTTTGGCTCGTTTGATGCACGAACAATCTTTTATGCACGATTTTGAAGTAACATCACATTCCAATTCATCAATTTTCACACTAATCCAAGGCCGATTATGTAAGGCAGGAGGCTGGTGACAACGAGCTTCATTCATAAAACTCACTTTACCAATGTTTCTTAACCTTGGCCAGGCTATATCATCTACACAGTCACAAATGAATGGATTGTTTGCAGCTATTTCAAAAGTAACGTCTGAATGAATTTTCGGCCCCATGAGACAAATAAAATCCACATCAGTTTTTAAAAACGATTTAAAAAAATCGCTCAGCCTTTCAATTCGATTTTCTGTCAATAAATAATCAAAATAATAACCATCTTCGTTTTCATTCTCGTCGCAGTCGTAATACCATTCCATGTTGTTTGTGAATTTGTTGATCTTGTTGTTCTTCAAATTGACAATGGTGTGCCTCAGATGAATCCCTCTGTATATTGGCCATGGATCTACACTCGTCAAGTCGTTGTTTTCTAGTGCTATCTCCAATAAACTTGGTGTGGCGGGAATGTTTGTGAATACGTGCGTGTCTACAAAGTTGATTCGGTTGTTATTCAACTTTAGTTTCTTTAGATTCACAAGACCATCAAACGTGCCATCATCTAATCTTTCGAGCAAGTTGTTAGTTATCTCTATTTCTTCAATGCTAGTTAAACTATTAATGCAATTTTTTGGTAAACTTGTTAAACTGATATTTATGAATTGTAGATGGCGGAGTTTGGCCAGTTTGCACACTTCATTGGGTATTTCCTCTACTTTGCTGTTTTCAATTGTGAGGTTTTGTACGTCAGAATTTTCGGTTAACAACTTTCTTAAAATTCCGATAAAATTATTTTGTGTTGGTTTGGTTTGACAGTCCAGCATTGTTAAAGAATAGTTTCCAATTAAGTGAAATGAGTAGCATGTCTCCTTTGCAGATCTTGTGGCTTCCGTTTCGTTAGCGTCTGACGTTATCAATAATGACAATGTAAAAACTATCAAACGTATTTCACAAAAATAGTTGAATTCAGCAGCAGCAGTCATTTTAGCATTTCACCAAAAAGGTTAAATTTCAAAACAGTCACATTGTATAATATATAGTTTTTTCAAAGAATTATTAAAAATAATTGACAATTATTTGCTGCTTTTAAACAACGTTTATAATATAAACGAATTTCAAACTTTGGAACACTTAAATTCGTTGGTGTCATTAAATATTCAAGAGTCTGTAAATAAACGGATACTTGACAAAAATTTTGTATCATCCCGCTGAAGCGTTTTTTAACTTACCGAAAGACATTATTAGTGAGATGTTCTTTTACATATACGGACTGCTATGACACAAAATTTTTGTATATTTTATACATTATAGAACAAAAAAGCTTTTTTAGGTATTCTTGGCAATGATTTATGATCAACCGTTAGAAAAATCTAAAAGTTATATAGGATTCTAACTAACGCGGTGATATTCATTCATAATTGCATGCATTATATGTATATACATATAATGCATTATATGTATATATATATAATGCATGCAAAACGCAGATATTGTATAATGCACATACACGTGCATGAGCAAAACTAGTTGGTTGCACTGAAGAGTACAAAACGAGTGAATTATTATATTCTATATCATGATGAGGAGTTCGTATGTTAGGTGGATAAGATATCGGAAGCCCGGCATACTGATTGATGTCAATTGAGTATGGAATATTCTAAAAATAACTTTCCGTCAATGTTTCCGAACTGTAGTAATTGTGATACTAGAATGTTGAATTATATTTTGGTGATAATAACTTTATTCAATTAGCCTACCTTGCGGTGATGCCAGCTAACATCATAAGTGAAAGTGATCGGTGGAAACTTGAAGCCGTCATATAATTCAGAAAATGAAAATCGGACAGAAACGTGAGTTTTGTGTTTGGTTAATTGCTCTCAAATTTAATTTATTGAGCTAAAATAAACTTCAAAAGTCAATTCTGCTAATCAAGTTTGCCTTTTGTGTGAAATGTTTAGTTTTGTCGCGTGAAAAGTTCCAAACTAAAAAATTGGAGATTTAATTATAAAAAGATAGGAAAATATTATTGAAAGAACACATTGACCCATAACAACATATAATAAATTAATCCTCAATAGTTACAACCCAATAATGAACAACAATACAAATAACAAAACACACAACAAGTAAACGCACCTCTAGCAACACCAGCCACAACAACCATCTCCCAGAATGCACCAAGATGTTCCTAGCTAAACTCTTCTTCCCGCACAAAAGGTTTCAAATCCAACAAAAACAAGAAATGACCGCACTGACAGACAGGAGTTACTACTTTGGGAAGATAAGTCGCAAACGGGCGGATGTGATCCTGGAGAGGATGGGATTCGAAGACGGTTCCTTTCTACTGAGGGAGTCACTTTCCATTCCTGAAAACTTCTGCCTGAGTGTCAGTTTCAATGGAAGGTACGTTAATTGATCTTGTACTATGTTATTCCCTCGCTATTATTGCAACGTTCGGCATCACCTTGCTGTATTGACATTATTACATTTTGTAAATATATTCTCCAGATATAAAAAAAAAATTAAATGTTTTTTCATTTCAATTGAATTATTTGAAATGGTCAACTCTTAACTCTATAATTATTCACATCACCGAGTACTTTATTTTTACTATTATTATTATTATTCAGTATTAAAAGCATGCATTATCATATTGGGATGATTAAATTGTTGCCAGATGTGTGTGTGTGTGTGTGTGTGTGTATGCGTCAGTGTGTGGTGTGTGTGTGTGTGTGTGTGTGTGTGTGTGTGTGTGTGTGTAGATAGATAGATTGGTATTACAGCACATCAATAATTTACAGTTACAAACATTACACTAGAAAATACACAAATACTGTAATCATTAAATAATTAATTAAAAACTTTTGATGATGGTGCTTTTATGTTTAGCAGCCAATCAAATTATGACTCCTCATCTTCATCCGTCTGCTAAAATGCATCTCTATGTTCAATTTTTCAACCTTTGTGTGTGTGTGTGTGTGTGTTTGTTTGTGCAGGTGTAAATTTGTTCGTTCGTTCGTTTGTTCGGTCGTTCGTTCATTTATTCATTTATTCATTCATTTATTTTACTCACTTGCTCACTCACTCACTCACTCACTCACACACACACTCACTCACTCACTCACTCACTCACACACACTCACTCACTCATTCAGGCACTCACTCACTCATTAATTTATTAATTAATTAACTTATTTATTAGAATTAATTGTTTAAAATTTTGCCATTTGTTTGTATGTGACGCTACGGAAGTAGAAGGTTTTAAAAAGTACCCTAGCAAATTCACCATTGAAATAACTGCAGACAAACTTTTCCAATTCTATGTTTGGTTATTTTTTTTGTTAGTCACGAACAATTTGAATTGAAATGTCCAAATAATTTATAAGAAAATTCCAGAATTGAACTTTCTCATTCGCCATTTAATCCACCCATAAATCAATGAATTTTTACATTTGTGTGTGTATTTAACGTTGTGTGTGTGTGTGTGTGTGTGTACGCGTGTGTGTGCGTGCGTGCGCGTGTGTGTGTGCGTGTGTGTGTAATGTGAATAAATTTTTTGTTCCATGATTGATTTACGAGTTTAATCAAATTTCTGAGGTTCAAACTGAAAAATTTCTCATAAATGTTTGTAATCTCTCTCTTCAGTTTTATTTAAAATTATTTTCGATATATCAAATAGGGCGGTTGAAAGCAAGTAACGCAACGTAATGATAATAGTTTCATCAATAATAATAATAATAATAATAATAATAATAATAATAATAATAATAATAAAATAATAATGTAAACTCTTTTATTATTCAGAGAAAACCAGTAAAATCAAAAATAGTCAAAATAAAATATATCAATAAAATGTTAAAATTAAATATTGTATAACGTAAGATAATTATAAGATAAATAAATAAATAATAATAATAATAAATCAAAAATGATTTAGGTAAAGAAAAACAAAAAAAAAATTATAAAAGCGTATTCTACGTAGCTCGTCATTCAGTGAAAGAAACACGAAATGAGTACAACGAGAACAGATTAGTTTTACATTGATTCATTCCGTCAAATTTCTATCACAATAAACAGCGTATGATGAGGATATCGCAGAGTTAATAAGACTATTATAAAATTGATCAGACCAAATAATGTCGACCAGCGACAAATCGAAACAATTGAAAAAACCTAGCGGCGAAATTTCGAACGTGTTGATTATTATTTTTAAATGTTTTAAATTGTCAAGTAAATTGTTATGGAGGTTATTAGAATATTTGTCCATTTTATATTGTTTTGAATTGAAAAAATTAGACTCATGGCAGACGGTGAGCTCCAATATTTCAATTGTGTTATCACGGGGTAGTGCGATGTCGGGACGAAGTGATTTGAAGGGACACGACAGTGGGCGGATCCCATCATAAACGACGTCTGCATACATCACAACCTCTGGTCCTGCGCATGATTTCAATTTTTCTATTATTATATTTAGAATATTGTTATGGCGTGTTGTGTATCTTTTTAATGCTGCCACCGAGCTGCAGTTGGATAGGACATGTTTGTTGGTTTGCCGAGCATTGCAAAGTGTACAAATGGCAGAAGACGATTTTCCCCATCTAAATAGATTAGCATTCGTTGGAAACTGTTGAATAAGGCCTTTCCTAACAAATTTGAACAGTACTTCAGGAAGTTTGGCGGTGAACCTCGACCAGTGAGCAATTCTTACCGCGGGAATGTTGTCTTTAATCGACTTAAAAATGGTCCCTTGGCAGCGGAGTGACAGCAAATGTTCCAGTTCTTCATTTACTTGCCGATTCTTTAGAGCGCTGAGTGTCGATTTTGTGTCATTTGAGTCGGGAAGCATGTTGTCAATTTTAATATACTTATTGTATGACTCACTCCACAAACATTTTAACTCCTCGTGGCCGTTTGATTTAAGGTAATTTCGTAATTTTACTCTTAGAGATTCGGCAAAATGTTTGAGTGATCTAACATTTAGACCACCTGACTTGTATGGGAGCGACATAGTTTCCAACAGACAGCTGCTGATAGGCAATGATAGCCATGTTCTTGCCGATTCGGTGACCAAGGTGTCTAAGTTTTCACCAATCCAAGTCAGCGATGTATCGTACATTCGAAACTCAAACGCAAATTGTGACGGCAAGTAAAGTCTGAGGATTTGTAATTTGAGTTGAGCTGTTGTGTTCAGTTCACTGACAGTTGTTAATATTTTTTTGAGTTTATTGACCATTAGATTGTTGGCCTTTGTATTATTTCCTTCGAAATCGTATAACTTACCTAAATATACGAAGTGGCCTCCAATATCTACATGAGGAATATGTTTGTTGTCGATGGACAGCATCGGATGAAACTGTTCATAAGCACCTTTTCTTTTTCTCATGCCGAATGAGGAACATTTGTCTATCCTCATTGTCATTCCAGTAGCTTTGCGCCATGCATTGTTTAAGTCGATTAACTTTTGAGCGCTTCCAGTGCTGTTAGCAATGATCGCCGTGTCGTCTGCGAATTGTAGCCACGCTCTTGTCTTTAATTTAGCCGTGGGACCCCAAATGTGGCCGCATTGTTGATATTCGGTTTTTTCAACTAATTTCATTAGGGGGTTAAAGCAGAGGTTGAAGAGCAGTGGAGACATGGGATCACCTTGAAGCACTCCTCGCTTGACTGGAATGTGCGGTGTTAGCTGGTCGCATCCGGATACTGTTATTGAGTAGTTCGTGTATATGCATTTAATTAAGTTGATTATATGAGGTGGAATATGATGGAAGTTCAGAGTTGATGAGATGAGATTGTGGTTGACCTCTCCAAACGCGTTTCGAAGGTCGAGTAGGGAAACAATTATAGTTCTTTGATGTTTCCTGGCATCGTTGAGAAGATGACTTAAGAGCTGATTATGCTCGGTCAAACCATCGATTTTTGGGTAGAACCCTTTTTGAATGTTTGTGTTGATCAGACTATTTTTTTCTAAAAAATTATATCTTTTATTGTTGATGAATGATGAAAATATTTTGTATAAAGTTGGTTGCAATGTTATGGGCCTGAAGTTTGAAGGGTCGTTGGCGTCCCCTTTTTTGG